CGACATTTGACAGTAATACAGTCTATGCAGTCATTTGAGAATGAGAAACAAACATTATTTGAAATAGACCATTTGGAGTGAATAAAAGTTGCAACGCCACCACCATTTTTCTTATTGCAACAGTGACGGTCTAGTCTAAATAATACGAAGTCCTTTAGTGGGATAAGGTTGTCATCATAAAGTTCATATAACCACCTTTCTTGTAATGTGATTATAGCAGTATTATGATAAGTGTCAGTGGACATCAAGGATTGTAGGTACATTATCTTGTTAGGCAGAGAGCGGCCTTAAATACTGCTATAATCACATTACAAGAAAGGTGGTTATATGAACTTTATGATGACAACCTTATCCCACTAAAGGACTTCGTATTATTTAGACTAGACCGTCACTGTTGCAATAAGAAAAATGGTGGTGGCGTTGCAACTTTTATTCACTCCAAATGGTCTATTTCAAATAATGTTTGTTTCTCATTCTCAAATGACTGCATAGACTGTATTACTGTCAAATGTCGTCCCAAACACCTCGCCAAATATAAACAAATCTTTGTTACAAACATGTACATTACTCCTAGTTGCTCACTATCAGATCTATCAAATTTTGCTGATGAATTCACCATGTTTGCTGCTGCCAACTTCGACAACTCTCTATCTGTTATTATTGGTGACTTCAATTCCTGGGACTGCTCTTTTCTTGAAGCACTTGGTCACACAAACATAGTCAAATTCCCTACTTGACTTGACAACAGACTCGATTTAGTTTTCACAAACGATGAAGGAATATGTGAAACACGTAAACGTGCACCGATCCTCAACTCTGATCACTCTATTGTTCATGTCTTACCAAAAATATACAGCAAAACACATATTAAAGTCTTCTCACACTTGTCTATGAAAGCACAACAAAGATGCTACTCATCTGACAACTTGTTCAATCTAAGGTTCATGTTAAAAAATACTAACTGGGATTTATTCCATGAAAGTACATTAGATGACACAATTGCCAATATAACGGATTATCTTAATTTTTGCCTTGATATATGCTGTCCCAAACAAACACTATTCAAACGCCTCGACCGCTTCTCGTCTCCTTGTCTCAAACAACCTCGCAGGCAAAAAGAAACATTATACAATTCCAAAGATAAGTTAGGACTCAAAAAGGTTAATGCTCAAATCAAATCTGAAATCAAAAATCTTAATGCTATTTACAATGATACACTTTTATCATGCGAATCTCCTATCAGCATGTGGAAACTTTTAATGAAATTACTGGCAATAGTAAGCGTTGTAATGCTTTTCCCTCTTATGATGTTAACGCTCTTAATCAGTCTTTTATACATTCTCCTTCTACTATAATTACTTCTAGTGTTTCAAATCACGCAGTTGATAACTTTCATGACTTTAATGCTCTCGATGTTCTAAAATGTCTAGAAATGCTCAGGTCCTCACGTAGCCTTGGCCCCTGATGGTGAACCTGCTGTAGTGGTTCAAATTTGAAAGGAAGCGTCAGTTCAAAAAACGGTGGACGCTGAACTGTACAAGTCTAGCTCTTTGTATCTACATGTATATATTTTTTGGACCTCTGCTGGTGTAATTCAGTATCAATTATAAAGTGCTTTTCCTCAAGTCGTGTTCTGCTTCTTCGCTCTACCCTGCGTGCTTGACCTGTATAATTGTTTGTGTTGTTCTATTACACTGCATATATTCTAAAACAATGTGCAGATGCTTTATGTTCTCCACTAACTAACATCCTGAATGCTTCTTTCTCCAAAAACGTTGTACCTGTTGCATGGAAAGACACTAAAATAGTCCCAGTGTGGCGCATCTTTCTTGGTGCCATATTGTACCAAGTTTTAATGCGTTTAAATAAATAAATAAAAATAGTCCCTGTCCCTAAACCTGGAAACAGCAAGAACGTAAAGTTCAGACCCATTGCCATCACTTTCCCGTTTCTAAAGCTTAGGGAAAAATTGGTACTTCTTAAACTTGAACCCTCCCTTAAAAACTTTGAAGACCCCAAACAATTTGCCTATAGACAGGGTAGGAGCAATTTAGACGCTGCAGCCGTCTTACACAACAGCATCGTCTCATCATTAGATAAAGGTGCCACGTACGTCCGCTGCACGTTTCTTGACTTCACTTCTGCTTTCGACTCTGTACCTAGATGTTTCTTGCTAAATAAGCTCTCTATGACGAAAACTGAGTCCTGGGTCACTAACTGGCTGCATTCCTACTTCTCTAACAGAATGCAGTACACCGTATACAAAGGTGAATCCTCCTCTGCTGCGCTCACTGAAGTTGGTGCTGTACTCTCCCCACTTCTCTTTTCTTTCTTTCTGCATGACTTACCATCTTTAAATGACATTAACTTTGTCAAATATGCTGACTACCTGACAGTATCTTCGCCTGTCAAATGTCAAAGTGACTGCTCTAAACTTAATGGCTTTTTATCAGAAATCAGCCAGTGGTCCAAGGAAAACGGTCTTACCTTAAATCCCTCCAAATGCCAAACAGTCAATTTCACCTTTAGGCATAAATCCGACCTAAACAAACTGGTTGGCTCTCACGAGGTGTGCAACATAGATGGCACTGAAATAGAAACCAAGTCGGAAATCAAATACCTAGGCGTCATTCTATCTTCTGATCTCTCCCGCTTGTCTTATATCTTGGCGATTTCTAAGAAAATATTCCGTCTTACCTTCTACATCAAGAAGTTAAAACATTCTGGTATAACCCGACCCTTACTCCTACAATTCGTTAACTCTCGCATTTTGCCTATTATTCTCTATTGTTCCCCCTTAGTTTTTCCCGGGCTACTGAAGAAAGACTATAACATATTACACAGGATGTTAAAGGTTGTCAGCAGGGTAAGCAACGTGCCACTTAACCAGCTTGTTAATATTCTGGTTGACAGGCACTTGGACTCATGTGAAAAATGGGCTAAATCCATTCTATCTAAATCACACCACACTCTTCATTCACAACTCTCCCCTTGTATCTCATCAGGCAGGACCAGAAGTCTATATAGAAAACTATATGCTCGCACTAGCAAGTATAAAAACTCAACCATACCCTACTTGGCTTGTGTTCTGTGCGATAAAGAAAGCATTAGGCGTGAAACTTATAACTTATTAAATAGTCAGTAGAACAATTGGATCTCGTCTTTCCAACTCATGTCATTTATAGCTGCAATGTTTTGTTTCTCTCTTGTTGGTATCAAACAGTGGAATTGTAGGCGAATGTGTTTCATCGTACTTGGGGCTCATAAACAGGGCATACCTGCATTCCCAGTGAGTGATGGTGTTCCCGTCGAGACTCAGTCCCAAAACCCATCGTTCCAAATGCCAAAACATTATCCACGAGGCTCACAAGATTAGCACCTGCAGCAATTACTACTCCGTATTCTCCAGCGTAGGTAAGTCAGTAGTATAATTGACCCTCATGCAATGAGTGTGGTTCATATTCAGAGAAATGAAAAACCTTTTTTGGGAATTGAAGTTAAAGTGAAGCGTTCACACCCTTAAAAACTTAATAAACTACATTTTTAAAAGACCAACTTCGCTTTAACATACAAAAACATAAAGAACAGCAAGAGTTGTGGGTTAATGTCCCGCTTCACTTGATGATTTAGCAGTAACATTGCGCAAAAAGACTAGGGTGTGGTTAATTAAAGTGACTCCACTGTCGGATAGCTGCTCAGCAGTTCTCTGCGTCCTCCTTTATGACTCTGAGTGAGACATGACCATTGAGAGTGGAAGATACGAAAAGGCCAGCTGTCTTTGATCATAGGTGCCTGCGGTCTATCTCCCGTATGAAGTGGCATAATAGGGTAAGCAATATTGAGGTTAGGCGTCGAGTGCCAGGTAAGCAGGCTACATCAATCGACAAGGCTGTGAAGTTACATCGATTGAGATGGTTGGGACATGTGTTACGCATGCATGCCGAAGCGATCTCTATCAAACGCTTGAAACCAGATTTATGTGTTCAGAAAGAAGCAGTTATTAATCTTTCTTCGCCCTGGTAACTGAATGTCTTTATTCTCTCATCTGATTACGTAATCTTTGTCTTTAACCTCACCACCTTTTATATTCTGTAATTTTGCTTGTCTCTTGTTTCTATGATTTGAGTTGAACTCAGTACATTGTTACCTAATTTATTAGTCACTCTGTATCTAACTCATATTTCGTCTTCATTACGTAACTCTTTTACCATTGTATGCATACATCTAGTTTGTCTAAACTTGAACTGCCTGTGTAAAAACTATATAAGCGCAATTTTCTGAGCACTGTTCACTTACTGTGGAACCTTTTGTCAACTGGCAACATGTAAAAATTTACAAGTATGTTAAAACTTTTCTGTACGCAAACCTCATAATTTATTTAGGCTGTAAGCAGCTGATGAGAAGCCTACGAAATAAATGATGGTACCATATTATTCTGCACAAACCACTTTTGTTCTTGCTTTATTCAAATTCATCAAGGGGAATAAATGCATAAAGCTTCAGTGATTAGCCTCTCTGTCTCTCCACCTTACTATTATTATTATTTATTGTATCCTTTAATTCCTAGAGGAACATAGGGCTTCAGCCGTGCGTCTCCATTGCGTTCGGTTCTCTGCTAGTCTTCACTTGGCTCCAAGTCTACCCACACGTTTTCATCTCCTCTTCACATGACCTCCTCCAAGTCACCCTTGCACTGACGACCGACTCGCCGCTTCCCTTTCGGGTTTCACTCGAGCGATGGCTTTTCTAGTGATATCATTTGATGGTTTCCTCAGAGTATGACCAGCCAATCCAACTCCATTTCTTCCTGTATATTTGTTGCACAATCGGTTCCTGGTTGGTTCGCTCCCAGAGATCCCTGTTGCTGATCTTATCTCACTGGCCATCTGATCTTGAGCTAAGTAGTGAGCGAAGACAACTGTTAATGAAGGTCTGTAGTTTGTTTGAGGTGCTCTTCATGACGCACCAAGTCTCTGATCCGTATAGTAGCACTGACTTCACATTGGAGTTGAAAATCCGGATCTAATTTTTCATGCTGAGTGTTGTTGACCTCCACACAGACTTGAGAGTAGTAAAAGCTTGTCTTGCTTTCCCGATTCTTGCTTTGATATCCTCGTTAGTTCCGCTGGCCTGTAATTGAGATGATGCTTCCCAGGTAGGTAAAAGAGGTTGTTTCTTTCGGGTTCCTCCCATTTATTCTGATTGTTTTCTGTTGTTGTTGTTGTTGGTGGTGGTGGTGTTGCCCAGGAATCTTTATCACCTCTGTTTTCTCTATGTTCACCTGAAGTCCTATCTTCTGTGGATGCTTCTTCTGCCAACTTGTTGCTTTTCGCTTGCATATTACTTTTTAATACTATCACCCTGTCCGACCATATTTTGTGATTACATGCAGTTGAATGCATGCAGTACAATGGCTGAGCTTTTTTCTAGGTTTTTTTTTTAACTTATCAGGGTCAATTATTCCAGGTCTAGATAAATCTTAGTGACCCCCAATCTACTAGTGCACTCTATGATGTAATTGACCGCACTCACAGTCATTACATGCTACCTGGTACATTATTGGGTCCTTAGGCTGACAAAGTTTATCTCTGAGAGAGTTGGTTAGTTGGTTGGTTTAAATGTCACCCTAATTCCAGCTTCATTGAGAATGCTACTTGAGGCCTCTGACGTCCCTTCCTTATACGACAGTGCTACAGAGGCTTTGGATTCTATATATTATTTCCGTCACTTTTATTGCTAGTCTTAGCTTTTCTATAATTCTTCATATATTTCTGAATGAATTCTGGTGGGTAGTTAGTCACTAGTGTTACTTCTTTTATTTGTTTGATTTCGTTATTTAAGTCTTCTGGTCGACTAGTTCGGCTCTTCACCCGATTATAAAGACGTTTAACTAAACCTGTCTTCCTATACCTATTGTGGATGGGACGAATTAAAGTCTAAGTATTTATTAGAGTGCGTCGGTTTCCTATAAATGCTAGTATCAAGCCCAAGTTGGTTTTTCTCAGCGTCTTTGTATTCTTTTTTGTAAACAGAAAAATTGAGGGAAGAAATATATGCTTTTAAATATATATATATATATATATATATATATATGTTCTATTTCATGTCGTTTAATGTAAAGCGAAATCACACGCTCAATGATTGGTTAAAGAATATAAAATGTATATATATAAACAGCCGTTTCATCAATGCAAAATATACCTTGAGCAGCAATCTTCGTATGTTTGGCATACGATTCGCCCCTGTAAAATGTAAGATGCTGCTACAGGACTGGACTACGTCTACCCCCAGCTTAGTGATGGGGAGTGAAGTGATAGAACATGTTGACCACTTCACCTATTTGGGAAGTTGTATCAGCACCAACGGATTGATTGGTGACGAAATCACAGCACGGATCCAGAAAGCTCGGGCTGCTTTCGCTAACTTACACCGTCTCTGGCGTAGGCGTGACATCCGGCTATCAACTAAGGGACGTGTGTACTGCTCAACAGTTCGCTCTGTCCTTCTCTATGGCTCTGAAACATGGCCAGTACGAGTTGAAGACATGAAAAGGTTGACTGTTTTTGATCATAGATGTCTACGATCTCTTTCTCACGTTAGGTGGTATAATAAGGTAAGTAATGTTGACGTTAGGCGTAGAGTGTTGGGCAAAGAGGGAAAATCAATCGACGAGGCTATAAAGTCACATAGATTGAGATGGCTAGGTGACGTGCTGCGCATGCCTAACCATCGCCTCCCCTCCACCGACGGGCATTACTAGCTGATATAGGTGCAGGTTGGAAAAGAGTAAGTGGTGGCCAAACAAAAACATGGCATCAATCAATCCATGAAATCCCTGACAGTTAAACTGAGTCAGGTAGGGAGATGCAGACTTCCAGGTTGGGGCCCTCGGGACTCTAAGAATCAATGGCTGGAGACAGACAATAGGCGACATGGCTCAAAATCGTTGTCAATGGCTTACGCAGATGTATTCAGTCTCTTTAACCTTTCATATCCCTTTCTACTATTACTCATTCTGTTTCACTGTTATACTTGTCAAAACTCTATTGATTCTCTTCATCGCTCATTTCCTTGTCTACCTTTGTGTGCTATTTGGAACGTGGCAACTCGAACTGCTACACTTCGGTGTCAAGTTCTATGTTGAATCCAGCCAGCTGTTACGAAACGACTTTCTCAATGAGGTGCTTAAGATTATCAGAGAATTACTTAGTGAAAAATGGTTATCCAGGTAAGTTCATTGAAAACATATGAATTTGACACCGAAACAAACCAGTAGGGCAACAGCTGCAAAAAAGGTCACCGTTCATTAACATGCTATTCTTCTGTGATAACATCAGTGAAATAGTAACACAGTTCCTGAAGAATGCAGTTAAGGAGCATTCAGTCCAGGAGAAGTGCACTGTCTCTTCACATCCACTCAGATTTCACGTTCTAGAAATAAGGACAAACTGCTTGATTTCGCTCCCTCTATGACTGCAGCTGTATTGGACGTACAATTAGGCAGGTTCACCATCGCATTTCTGAAAATCATCCAGCGTGGTTAAGCAAAGGACAAACAAGATCCATTCGTAGCTTTGTATTAGTACGCCTTGTAGACAGTGAGCATAAAATTGATGTTAATGCAGTAATTACAGCTATTTATCGCATTCAGAAGGCTAATCTTAATTTTGCTTTAGGACTGAAGTCATAGGAATCCACCTGAAGAAGCCAGATCTGTATATGTTCAGCGGAAACTCGTACAGCTACTTTCTTTATCTTGACCATCGTTACATGAATGTAAATACCTGAATAAAGCCTGTGGGTATCATAGGTTTGTAATCAGGGTTTTCCAACTCTTCTAGGTTGACCCACATGTTCACCAGTCCGGTTGTAAGCGTCAGACATTCTCATTCGCCCTTTCACACTTGTGGAGAACACCCCCCACTGCGTGAAAGCCGTGGCTAGGACTTACCTAGCAGAGGTTGTAAATGGGTGGCTAAATGTGAGAGCATCTCGACAGGCAGACCGAATCCTACCGACTCTGAATTGAGGTTAAGCATAGGTCGAGTTCTAGGTAAGGAGAGAGGGAAAATCAATAGACGAGGCTATGAAGCTTCATCGACTGAGATGGCTAGAAAATGTCTTACGCATGCCTAGTCATCGCCTGCCTCGACGGGCAATGTTAGTTGACATATGATGGGTCAGGTTGGAAAAGAGTTAGCGGTGGTCAAACCAAAACACGGCTTCATCAGTCAATGAAATCCACAACAGTTAGTTTAAGCCACGTAGGATAGTGTAGACTTACTGACTGGCTGGTTGGGGTCCTCGGGACGGTAAAAGTCAAGGGCTGCAGACAATTGGTGATATGGCTCAAAATCGTTCTCAGTGACTGCGCAGATGCATCCACTCCTTGTGACTTATGATTTCCAATTAAACTGTTTCGTTCTCCGTTATTACTATTCCTCTGTCTCACACCTCTGTTTACTGTCTATATTATGCATATCTTCTACTTTCTTCTCTTGCTTTGTGTGCTACATGGAGTGTGGTGTCTTGAACTGCTGCACATCGGTGCAAAGTTCTACGTTGAAAACAGGCCGGCTCTGAGCTGTACTAGATCTCTTGTGGGAACTGTGGAGGACTTATTCTGTCGACTATTTATTGTCATCATTGCGCAAAGTTTTGTAATTTGTCTGTCGATATACATTGATCAAGCATCAATTGATATTTCTTTTTTGTTTTCATAACAGATGGGAACGTCAAGATGAAATTTCTGCTGCTTTAAAGGCTGGTATCAGTGTTGTTGTCGATCGTTACAGTTATTCGGGTATTGCTAATACAGCTGCGAAATTTCATCCACTCTCAGAAGCTGATTGGCAATGGTGTCGTTCCACAGAATCTGGTCTACTACAACCTGATTTTATATTTTGTCTTGCGCCAGAAAATTTCGCTGAAATTACCGTACGTGATGGATTCGGTGAAAAGAAATTTGAGACACCAGATTTTCAGAAACAAGTTCTTATCAATTATGGTCGTCTATCACGTGAAATGGAATCAGAGTTGAATGAGGCTGCTGGTGGTGATGCTGCTGCTGCTGAGACAAAAGACTTAGAGCCACGACTATGGCATTGGATACCAGCAACTGGACAAACTGTAGACGATACACATTCATGCATAATGGCAATCATCGATCCAAAACTATAGGGGATTCTTTTCTAAATATAAACTTTTCTACATACTGTATGGTCTTTTGGTGTTCGCAATTTTTTTATGATAGTCACAGAAGGCGGTAGAGATCATAAAGGTACTGTTGTAACGGGAGAAGGGAAGGGAGTTAGTAAGGGACCATTTTTCAATTGGCAATTTGCGTCTATATACTGCTGATAATTCTTGTCACTAGTACGCGCTACATTTGTTCTCCCATCGAATAGTTTCGAGTGGAGCCGCTGCAATTTTCTTGGTTCTACTCGTTCTTGTTATTTCCTGGATGGAAGCCCTGTGTGCTAGTAGATTCAATGGAAGCCAGCCATGTCTTCAGTGTACGGTTGTTACTCTTAATCAAACCATTCTTTTGTGGATGATATGCTGTTGTTCTGATTTTCTTGATACCTAGCTGTTGCAAATGGGATGCAAATTCTTCATTGTTTAAAACGCAGACCCTGATCTGTCAGTATCTTTTTTGGTACACCGTGGTCTGCAATGATATGTCGAACTACTGTGTCAGTCACAGTTCTTGCGCTTTTATCGGGGGTCGTGATGGCGTCCCGTCATCAGCAGGAGGTACTGACTGCCACTGGATGTCTGGGGAAACGGACCACAAGTCACTTAGAATCGACCGCAAAGGTGGTCGGATGCACCGATCTCCTTCCATCAACTGACACTGCGGACATCCAAGTACATATTTTGCCGCATATTCTCTCATACCTGACCAGTAAATTCCTGGTCTCAAGAGGTCGGTTGTTCTGGCCGCTTCTGTAAGTGCTAGCTGGTGGCATTCTTCTATCATCTCATGGTGTAGGGACTGAGGTATTCCCGCCAACCAGCTTCCATTGTTCTCTCACCAAATCAGACTTCCGTAGGCGTTTACTCTTAATCGATCTTTATGTCTGATCAGCGTGGTTAGCTACTTATGTCTCCTTCGAAAGCAACAGGCCATGGGATCTTCATTGTCTGGAGGCAGTGACACTATGATGTAACGGGAGAAGGCAAGAGGCTTGGTAACGGACGTATTTTCACTTTTGACCACTTCCTGTCAACCAGCGTCTATATATTACTGATAATTTTTGTCAGTAGCACATGCCATACTATAAGTGAAGCTTAGAAGTTCATAAAATATGGAGATTTCTAAGAGAGATGATAGTTTGTGCGGATACCCTGTTATTTGTGTACTAGTCTATCTGACTCAGTTGGATTGAATTGTGATGTTGGTCGGATTTCTTCAGCTTTGGTCATCAATCATGTACTTTATATTATCTCATGGGTAGTTGTGATTTGAGAAACAT